GTTGTGCATGCCACGTAATTAATTTAATTGTTCAATCCGGTTTAATTAGAGATAGTCTTGCATGGATTCAAGGTAGTAATAACTAAAGACAATAAGATTGGTTTAAGTTCTTACAAGCATTAAATATACCTCTTAGAGCATTAGCGTTAGATATGCCTATAAGATGGAACTCAACTTATATAATGCTTCAACAATGCATCCCCTATAAGGATGCTATAACAAACTATATGTATGCGAGTAAAACATATAGACTCATATGGTTGGTAAATTACCGAAGTTTTGTATCAATTTTTAGGTAGGTTTCATGAAGTGACTCTAAAACTTAGTGGAACATATTACCCAACATCACCTTTAGCTTTAGGATAACTTTTACGAATTAGTATTTTATTTAGTGAATATAGGGAAGACCCAATCTTTGGAGTTCCTATCCATTCTATGGAAAAAAAATTTATAAAATATTGGTCTAAGTTGCCTTTGTTGTATGGTTTAGGTACTATTTTTTATCCTAGATTAAAATTAGAAGGTTTAGAAAGTAGTTTAGAAAACTTAGGTGAATTTTTAGGCATCAAATGTTCAGACCAATATCTAATAATAAAGGAAAAAATATATTCGATCTATAGTAAATTTGATATTAGGTTTAGAGTACCTCATATAGTACAGGAACCGCAACAACAAGACGAAAACCCGCATTCATTCTTGAATGTTTTCGGGTTGAAGAAGAAGAAGAAGACAACAAACAGAAGCTAGGAGTGAATTTTCGTCAACAAGTGACAGTGGCAGCGGTGGCGGCAGCTTCAATGAGCTTATGGCATACCTCAGTGAAGGCTTAGTAGTTGACGGTAAGGCAGAATCATTTGACTTAGTTCAATGGTGGAGGGCATGGGCATTAACTTAGCCAATCCTAACTCGATTGGCAATGGATATATTTTCGATCACAGTCTCCACTATTTCATCCGAACAAGCCTTTAGTACGACAGGAAGAATACTTGAGAAACGCCAGAATGCATTGCAAAGGGATATCGTTGAAGCCTTAGTTTGCATTAAGGATTGGGATCGAACCGATCAACATCTACAGGATACAATTTCGCCGGCGAGCTAAGAATGGATCGATGAATTTAATCGATTAACATTTAATTTTGAAGACGATCATTCAGCTTCAAATTAAATTGTAAATTTGTAATTTGTAAATATGTATTTACTTTTGACATTGTATTTGTAATTGTATAACTTTGTAAGTTTGTAAAATTTGTAATTCGTCACAAAATGATTGCACTCTTTTTTCCTTGCCAAGTTTTTATCCCAATTGGATTTTTCTTGGTAAGGTTTTTAACGAGGTAATCATGAATTGCGAATTTAATATACATCATTAATATACATGATTAATTTATTCAATTGTGTTAATAATGTCTGTTGAATGTTGATTTTGATTTTTATATAATTTTAACACAAACTAACTTAATAATTATAAAAATTAAAAAATATTAAAAAAAATTTGGGCTATTCAGGCGGGCTCGGGCTACTCGGCCGGGCTTGGGCAACCAAATGTAAGCCTGCGGCCTGTTCAAGAGCATATTCAGGCTCGGCCGGGCGGCTTGAATTTTTTGGGCAGATCGGGTCGGGCATCAAACAAAATATCGGTATTTTCAGGCAATCACGAGCGGCCCGTCCAAAATTCCAGCACTACTTTCTAATACGGAAATGATGCTTCTTTTGTTTCATTCTCGACAAACCCCATCTTTGATCATTATTAAATTTGACTCTCAAGTCTCAATACAATTGCATTGTGAATGATCCATGGTGAGGAAGAGGGCCAAAAAATCGCACGTGGATCAAGAATCCGACATTACTATATCAATTATCATTTGTTTTACACTAATTAATAACATATAATCAAATAAAGAAAGGGAAAAATCGAGAGATAGATCATTGTTTAACGGAAAGAAATATCCTTTGTTGATTTAGAGCTACCAAGAAAAAGTCTTAATTGTACATAAAAGCACGTTATGCCAATTTAACGGAGCAAAAGTAATATCTCTATATCCCATAGCCCCTCACTGTTTCCTCATCTTTACGCATTTTATAGACCTGATGAAAGGTTGGAGTATTACAATACTTAAAATTAAAAAAAAAAAAAAAA